GCCAGGAAGCTAAAAGGCAGCGCCAGGCAGGACAGGGAACAGCCAGGAGGGAGCTCCGAGTGGGAGGAAGGCAGATGACGTCTCCAGACCAGGGGGAGCTTCGCCAAGCAGGCTCTTTCTTAGCACAGTTGGGCCCGGGTGACTTGCTGATTACCTTGTCAGAGTCTATATTTAAGGCAATTGAAGTGGAAACTCCACTGGAAAGAAGAAATGAATGCATTAGAGGATGGAGGAGAGCAATGACCTTTGGATTCAAGGAACCTCCGCTGGCGTCCACGGTCTAGTGGTCGTGGCTGTCTGGTCTTGGGTGAGTTGTGTCTTGCTCCCGGCTGGCTTCCCAACCTGCAAAGTTGTCGCAGCAAGACCATCCTGACCGCAGCTGTGTCAAACCCTGAAGAGCTGCGCTTGGGGTTGTTTCCATTCAGCACAACGCTTGGCACGTGTTCGTGGGAATGTAGCACGGTGCCGAGACCTTAGACACGGCGTGGCTGCTGGGAGGTGTGTGAAGCACAATTCTGATTCCTGGAAACCCTCGGTGACAGATGCTCTTGGCTGGAATCTGTACAGCAGCAGACTGCCAGCCTTCCTCCTGAGGAGTAGCCTATCGCTAAACCATTGCTCACCGGGGCTCTGTCGCCGCCCCGCTGTTACTGTAGTTGGATGCCAGCATGCTGATTCTGACCCATAACAACCCTGTGGGCAACCGAATGAAACAGTGCCTGGTGCTACACGGCCATGCTGATTGTTATGTTTGAGCCCACTGGGGTGCCGCTGTGACAATGCATCTCATTGGGGGGGCTTCCTCCTTATCACCATCCTCTACTTTTCCAAGCATCTTGTTGTTTTCAGGCATGGCTCACCACCCTTACTTCTAAGAAGCGTTTTAGCTGGTCCTCTTCCAAGCTGTTTTATGATTGTTAATACATCATTTTTACTGGGGGCTCTTACACGCCACACATCCATTGTATCAAAACCATTTCTACATAGGTTGCCATCATTGTTTGCAAAACATTTTCTTTCTGCTCGAGCCCTTGGTATCAGCTCCTCTTTTTGCCCGCCCTCTCCCAACCTCCCACCCTCATGGACCCTGATAAATTATAAAGTGTTATTACTTTTATATCTTACACCATCTGCTGCCTCCCTTTGCCCAGGTTTCTGTTGCTCATCCCCCCAAGGGAGTGGGGCAAGAGGGGGTTATATGTCGATCACTGTAGTCAGTTCCCTGTTTCTCCCTCTTCTCCCTCCACCTTCCCCCTACCCTCATCGTATCACTACTCTCATTGCTGGTCCTGAGGGGGATATCTGTCCTGGATTCCGTGTGTCGAGAGCTCTTATCTGTACCCGTGTACATGCTCTGGTCTAGCCTGATTTGTAAGGTAGAACT